GAGAGAGAACTGAGGAATTATGTATGAACAGTTGACCGACTGGGTATACTGGGACATTTGGCTATACTTATATTTGATTGTTTTAGAAATGTTTTTTTTAGAAATATGCAACTAAATTACCTTTGTATTGTTATAGCGTAAGTGTATTTATGTAGTTCATTTAATATATAGATTCTTCTTACTAATAAGAGATTAAATCAGGTTTCTTGGTAATTAAATACAGGATAATGCAGGATTCAGGCCGGTTCTACAATGACTGCGTTCGCTTTGGACGCTTATGAGCGTCATTCTATCTTCCCGCATATAATGAGCAATAAAGATAGAATGATGCTTACAGTGCGTAAGCGCCCAAAGCGAACGCACTCAATACATCGTATGCGTTGTCGGAATGCAGCCGATGGGCCAATCAGAGGATTTGTTTTTCGAGTCGAGTTCTCCTTATTGGACCATCGACTGCGTACTGACTAGAGATGGGCGATACCTCTCTCTCTCTCTCTTTCAATATTGGTTCAAAGTAATCCTACGATTTTTCCCCAACACCATTCTAATTAGATGGGCGATATCGATACCGATTCAATACTTGGCTACCAATAATTATAATCGATTATTTCTTTTCGATGTATAAACATTTTGGTCCATATTCTGAATCCTCTTTTATCTATAAAAGTATCTCTAAAAGACGCTTAGGAGCCATCTGATTGGCTGAGAAACTACATTTAAGGCACTTTCATCGATAAAAGAGGATTCAGAATATGGGTCTTTGTAATCAATTGTTTAACGACTCGATTATGGCGAGAATCGATACTTTTAAACGGGAGCGTCCCGATTGACCACGGTACGATTGGACACAATCAACCGATGCAAAGAATTATTTAATGAATTACCAGGTCAAACCAATCATTACAATCTGTGTCCAGTAGTCCTAAGAACGTTCTAAGAATGTACTGAGAACGAAGAAATGTCCTTAGAATATCCTTAGGATGTACTCTGGATGTCCTCTGAACATCTGTCCTATCACCTACCTATCCTAACACCTCACCTAACCTAACCTAACTAACTCAACTCGACCCAACTCTGGATATTTCGGAAGCATCCAAGGAGGACTTCTCCCCATGGGATGACATACACGAACAAGCTTTTAGAGCCAACGCATAAGCACATCCGTAACATGTTACGTTACATTAAGTACTGACAATACAATAGCTATACCTGTACGTAAACTTAAACTTAAGTCAACGCACAAAGAAATCCGTAAACTTAACATGTTACGGATGTTCTTGTGCGGAGGTTCTTACTTATAACACCAAAATATTTACAATTATAGCAAACTTTCTAAACTGTACCGAACAAACAATTTAAATTTATCTCTCAATTCACATACGATGGCAGCACTTACCCGAATAATGGCGTAGGTCGCGCGACTACAAGCGCTCCAAGCCAAGTATTGAAGGAAGGAATTATTGTAAACACCCATAAAGCCAGAAAATAGGATAGAACTTTAGAGGTGTTGTGATCACTTAATAATTATTTTCACGTGTTTATATTTTAACGTACAAGTAACCCGTTTAGTCGTGGAGATTGTCTTCATAGTTCAGGACAAATTGCAGCGTTTATGGAAATTCAGTTAGCACGTAACCTCTGATCTAACCTCCTCTGAACACTATCGTCTCATTGTTTTTCGTTCTGTATTTTATAAAGTATGTCGAACAGACACTTATTTCTCAAATCTGGATTTCCACGTGCACCTCATGGTCTTGGAATCGGTCGTTATGTGTGTCAATTGCAAAGAATTACTTTAAAATTTTGCAAAAGCCATGGTACAAGTATGGGAATAAGGTTAAACGTTTAATTCATATTTTTACATATGCTGTGTAAGCCTTATTAAATAGGAAAATGTTAATTTATTCTAACTTAATGTTTTTCCAGAGGCTTTATCGAACATGATTTAGTTAATTATGCTAAGGAAAATCCAGGGGTAGTTGTATATGTTAAACCAAGGAGACACAGGCAACCTGTTTTAGTCGCTGAGTATCGTACGTATATATCAATGTAGGATAAAAAAAAATATATATATGCATTATTTTTTAATTCTGTCATTTTTTGGTATTATGCTAATATATTGTGCAATTCTTGTATAGTGGATGGCAGTAGACAATGGATGAATGTCTCCAATTACAATCGAGATGATATCATTAAGTGGATGGAATTGTTACGTACACAAATTAATGATAGTACTTCGTTCAGATTGCGAAAGTTGTGGCACACGGAATTTCCATCGATTCAAGGGCCATGGACGCCATTTCTGTTTAAGGATCCGACGAGAAATTTGGCGCAGTTTCCAAACGTAATATCTTGTATAAATGACAAAATCTTTTCATTAGTATTAAAAAAAAAGGACAATACTTATTGGGCTGTCTTAGAAGGACATAATATTTCTAATATATTGATATATTTTTTCCCCATTTGTAGAGGGAACTTGGTGCAGCTGTTAAATTGGCTCCTACTGCTACAGAACAACTTATCAAGTTGTTCAAAGCTCAACAATTGTTGAATAACACAACCAATGATTCTTTAGACACGGAACGTGTTGAGAGAGCATAATGTATTTTCTATTACGAATTTTGTCTTACAGCCCAAAAATTTACAGTGTATATAAGTAATATGAAAACTAGAATTACGTGTATCGTAGATACGTATCAATCATTTCGCAAATCGTTGCGCATATGCGGTGATTGACAAAAAATCTCGATATCTCTCTCTAGAGTTTTATAAAAAATAGAATTGAAAAATTAAATGTAAGGTAGCAAAGATGTAAATCCAAATAGTAAATATACTTCACAGGTTAAACGTGTTTCTTTCATCTTATTTAAATTGAGGGGATTGCAGATGTATACATAATTACAAGATTATTGATACGAGCTCATGATGCATGAAAAAAAATTACCTCACCATTCCTATTAGATGCATCAAGGAAGCTTTATGACATTACATCGGGAAAAGTGAATTTATCATTTGTATTAAGATATTAACTTATTTTGTTTCTTACTTTCAGAAGACGCGTATCAAAAAGTTCTTATTGCAACTGTTGAAACTAATACGTGTTATATAAGACGAATGTTTACTGCAAATTACGATATCGTGAAATATAACTACAAAATATAATATTTACAAACATGTTCAGAATATCAATCAAGTGTTTTTTGACATAGTCTGTTTGACGAATTAAAATTTGCCGTAACATATGTAACATCGTCAATAAGAATATCATTAATGGACTGTATTGCAAACGCTGTAAGGCATTCGTAGCGCCAAGCGTGGTGCACCCTTCGTCCGATTCCTCGTTATGATTGTTACATATAATGTTTTCTATCGAAATATTTCTCAAGGAGATATTGTTCCATTTCTCACAAGTTGTTTCCGCGTGTATTGTTTTCTGTAAGTGAACAAAGTTGATTTGTTATGCATGAAATTACCTCTATTTCATTATCAAAAAGATTACTCAACGTCTGCGTACAGGCTCATTCTTTTTGTCCTTATTATGTAAGTCGAGTGTCAAATCCAATTTGGTTTCACTCATATTTAAATGACTATATTCTGTAATGAATTATCGTTATTTATTATCGTTCGCTGTGTGCACTTACATTTTGTGTACGGAAAAAACTGATTTCTTCTTTTTTTTTTTTTATATTATTGCTGGATATAAACGATGTATACCCACGTGATTTTTCATGTAATTTTGTCGATGGATTAGCAGTATTATTATGATGTAAACTTGAGTCTGTGCTACATGCGTCTAACAAATGCAACATTAAAGCAAAAGTATCGTCACAAGATGCGCTACTGCCGAAGACTGAATTTGTCGGAATATCCGGAAAAGTCTAGAAAATGTTTCATATTTCAAAGCGCTAAAAGCAAGGATACTTCCTCTTCTTTCTTTTCTGTTCTTAAAATATTTTTCGCTATTTTAGATTATGACTATCATTGAATACATTATTTTTATCCAATATTTATTCTCGTACGTAGCTATTCTATAATAGATATTATGTAACTCAATAATAGGTTTAATGAAATAAATACCGTTTCACTTGTCGGATCCGTAATTGTAATTGTAACTGAAGAGTCTGCTGAATTATTCCGTAATTCTTCATTTCTCTATAACACAGCGTCACACTTGTGCGTTATCCATTTTTACAGACTTATCTAGTTTTGAATTGACTAAAATTGTTTGTTGAAAAGTAAAAGAGATCACCTTTATTTGCTTGTTTTTGTTTACAAAAACTTGATATATATCAACACTAAAATGCAAGCTAAATCTGTTTTTAACTTGAACTCTAATATGTATACTGCATGATGTAAAAAAACAAAGTAGAATCATTAGATCTGATTACATTTATTTGCGTATTTAATCGTACATTTTTTAAATAATGTGGTTGGCGTTGCGAACTTCTTTATTAGTTTTTCTTCAAATTGTTTACCTTTGAAATATTTTTTGCTTGCGGTTGCATTGGGTCCAGTATGTTTTTATTTGTCTGCGGCATAAAAAATTGTGCCTAAAGATGGACACAATGCAGTTTAGTAGTAATGAAATAATATAAGATACTACATCTCCGAGAAATTTTTATATTTTTAAACAATGTTTATGTGTGTGTGTGTGTGTGTGTATTACCTTGCTGTTGTTTGGGTTAGGTTTAAGGCCCCTGCAACACTGAGTAAAGTGATTGACATCGCCACATTTTGTGCACTTTGATCCCCAAGCAGGACACTTCTTTTGTGGGTGGTAAAGACCACATCTCCAACAACATCCTTTCACTACATGATCTATCGGCTTTGATTTGATCGAACTAGTAGATTCTGCTTGATTTTCTTGACTGACAAGCTTCATCTTTTCGATATTGGTATGGTAGTCGTTATAAATCGCTACTAGTTTCTGCAAATCCAAATTGGATGCTTCGAAGTACTTTTTACGAAGTATTTTGTCATTTGTGTCGAGAATGATTCTGTCTCGTATAAGACTATCCGTCATTTCTTTGAAATTGCAGGTTTTGGCCTTCTCCTGTAAGCAAATTAGCAGATCACGATGCCTAAAATTTACAGTGAAAAAAACAAAAGAAAATGAACCGTGAAAGTAAAAAACGTACTTTCAAGTTGTTTATATACTGTTCGATGGTTTGGTTTGGGTTTTTACACTTTGTAAAAAACTGATATCGCTCGATCACTTCGTTTTTTGGTGGGTTAAAGTGTTCCTCGAGTTTTTTTACTATTATATCCATATCGTCTTTATCTTGCGGATTGTCAAATGACATATTTTGTATCACATCAATGCCAACTTTACCAATCCGATTTTTTAAAAGATTCGCACGGATCTCATTGGGTTTATCGATATATCCTGTTACTTTCATAAATATGATGAAATCCTCTATCCAGCTATGCCAATTGTTGGTCATGTTGCCGACATTTGTCAGCGGGTCTGGAGCACGTGCGTGCGCTTCCATGACAGCTTGCTGAAAAGTTTATCTAGAAAAATATAAAAAAATCATATAAGCCCTCATTATATAAATATCATATAAACACAAATGTCAAATGCATAAAGATAATTTTTTCTAAGATAAGATTAGCGATTTTTACATCGATAAGAAACAATAGTGATAGCTATTATCTACTTTGCTAGTTAAGAACAAAAACGACAGAAAGAGAGGAGGGGAAGGAGGGAGAAACTATCAGTATGTCATCAATTATCCAATAAACAAGGATAGTGTATAAGATGTATGGATTAAAGATACACCAAAAAGGAAGAAAAATAAAAAAGTGAAAAAGGAAAGGAGTTAAGGTTTAAAAAAAATAGGTTAAGATGGCGAAAAGGAATAAAGATAAGACGTGTAGAAATAAGCATAGAAATAAGGAAATAAGAAATAAAGAATGTATAAACCGAAAAAACTTCCTGGCTATGTAAAAGCTGAAGTTGAAAATAAAGATACGACCACCCAATAAACAAAATGTTAACGGTATGCCGGCGGATTGGCAGCATATCGATCAGGATATTGGTGCAGATCCGTAGCCATCTATGTGCGCATTAAATTCATTCTGACAATAATGTCTGCTGATACAAGTCGACAGCAGAACGACAGAAAAAAAAGAAGCGGGAAGAAGCGGAATCTACGATATATTTCATTTAAATACACTTTAATGTGTGGTTACGGAACGACAGATCCTGCTCGGTTTCTGTAGTCTGCCATTATATGCTCTGCTAGCAAATACTGTTGTATTTCTGCTACCAAACTGTTGGAAAAATTTGCAACACTGCATAAAATCTGCTTCTTTTACGTTACGTAGGTATATTAAATGATGCGATATACATATGTTGCCAATTGAATAACTTTAAAATACATAGCAAAAGTAGATTATGGGAAGATTCTTTGTGGAAGATTGCGAATTTCCTTCCTTTAATTTTTGGCTCTAGACTTCTCTAAGAGTGCCTCAACTCTATTATTTCGATTTATGATATGATATCGAGATTAAAGTTTTGGAAAATTTCAAGGCACGTTCTAAAAATCAAGGTCCGAACTTGTTTGAACGTTTTGTCATGACGGCGATTATATTGGGACTTCCCCAAGATTGCGAACTAAAATAATCTCAGCGAAATTGACTCATCGATTGACGCGGATTGACGGCAAAACGATGTCAGATTGACATTGAAACCATCAAATCGACGTCGATTTGATATTGTTTCGCCGTCAATTGACGAGCCACTTTTCACTGCGATGTTCAGTTTTAAACGTTTAGCTTTAGGTACACTTAGATCACGCCATTTATCAAATTTACGACAATATACTTTTATACGATAATGATACACTTATTATCAATATTGCAGAAAAAATTTTAATTTGTGCACTTACTTTAGGTATTATTAAGATTACAAAACTTAGCGCTGGAAAAATCTTTTCCTTCGATGTTGTGTTAACGCCGAATGACTCTCCACGTCTAAACTTGGGTGTGACGACGCTGGAATAACAGTGGACGATGATAAAAGTTGTCAAGGCCAGTTATTGGCTAGATACGTCACGAATCTCCGCGTGATGCACGTATGCGCGTGGTAGCACTGATTCAGAAGTTGGCCGATACAGGTTGGCTAATTAAAAGTATAGCGACATTTTGCGTCGATAAGTTTTGCAACGCATAAAGCGGGATCTACGATAGAAATCGTAGAATCGTAAAAATCGTAAAAATTGACCAATCACGGTCGATTATTCTTCTCATACTCGATCGCGATTGGTCAATTTCTACGACTTACGACTCTACTTCTATTGTAGACCATGTTTTACACGTGTCCAATAATAAAACGTATCTCCGTAATTACTAAAAAACAAATTCTCCTATTGGATACTGAATGCATTACGAAACTCATTGAGGTAAAGGCTCATATTCTCAATTCTCTTTTATCTATAAAAGTGCCTCTAAAAGAGGCTTAGAAGCCACCTGATTGGCTGAAAAACTACATTTAAGGCATTTTTATTGATAAAAAAGGATTCAGAATATGGGCTAAAGTATTGCTTCAGTCAACTAACTGACAAATTGAATTTGTGATTTAGTGCAGTGATAGGAGAATTTTTCTGCGATAAGAGCCTTTCTGTACGAAATGACGTAAGCAATTTCTGATAACGGATTTAGGCATAGAGGTAGCATAGAGGGTTTATCCCGCGCGAAATACTCGACCGTTTTGTCTAGTAGAAGAATTTATTGGTTAATAAAAGAATGTTGAGCCAGACGAATATGTTCCGAAAGTCACAAGAAAAAACTTTTCCGACGCTGATTATATATACTGCTGACACATTTGCATATAAGTCGATTATGACAGGAACCGAAGTGACAGTATAGAGCATAAAAGTAAATTTAAAATAACATGATGTGATGTGTTAATACGTTATAAAGTAGGTCGCGTTCCGTTTCACGCATATGCGCGCATTTATCTACAGTTCATGTCACGTATATAGTAGGAAATGCGCGCATAATGCGTGAAACGAACGCAACCGTAGTATTTCGGATTCAAACGTTGCAGTAGTGATACGCGAAGAAATACGTAAAAGAAGACTGTGAAGAGTACATCCAGACAGCACAATCTACTAAAAGATATCTTAAGGACGTCCAAAAAATGTTCTTATTCCTTTTGGATGTCTTTTGGATGTCTTTTGGATGTTTTTAAGATATCTTTCTCAGGTAGCACACACACGTTTTAGAAATGTTTTATAAACGTTAGGACCAAACCTTTCATAACCATTTCCAAAATGTTTCATAACGTTTCTGAAACGTTTCTCATGAATAAAAATGTCCACTCAAAAAACGTTAGGTGAAACGTTATTTTTGTGAAAAAAATCGTTGAAGAAACGTTTTATAAACGTTTCATAAATAAGGTTTCAGGAAGGTTTCTGTTAAAACGTTTCTTATTGATGTTTTACGATTCTGAAACTATAGATACCCTGTCTGCACAGACGTGCCAAGAACGTTACAAACATGTCGTAATAACGTCCGTTAGCGACGTGCTCGCCACGTCCGGTGCTGTCAGGATATATTTAAAAAACGTATTATTGACGTCAATAATATGTCATTAAGACGTCATTTGACGTCATCTTGTTTGCTGGGTATGTGCTACCTGGGTTTAGCAGTTTGTGCTGTCTAGGATATATGTAAGTAACTTTATCAACGACACAAACAGACTAGGCACAGTAAAATAAATACATATAAAATATTTGATTATTCAGGAGAAAAGTAAGTTTATAATGTTTAACTTTTTGGTTTATATTGATTATAATATATATGGATCATATAACTTATTTTTTCTCATGCAACAATTATTTACATCGTTATGCGCGAGATCGGAAATGCGAAAACATTGGACTGAGAATTTGGTAACACGGACGAAATTGTAACAAAGCGAAACTTTTCGCCTACAAAAGAAACCATCGTTCGGATTTCAAAACAGTGCTACTTCTATTACGTACATTACAGATATTTTCAGCACTGGCAGTCAATATCGAGATGCAGCTGTAGTTCGATATGGATTTGAGATTTAACTTGAAATCGCTCTTTCAATATAACAGATTTTGTCGTTATGATGCATTTTATTTAAATAAAAAGATAATATTTATACTAGTCGATATATTGTACAGATCTGTAAGAATAGATTGTAATTATTTAGGAATAAAAATAGAAACATAGATGACAGACGTAACAGACACGAGGATCACAAACATCAAACGATGTTACCAATAAACATAAACTACAGAGATTAACGAAATCACTAACAAACTTAGAATATAATAAAGATTGCACTCAAGTCAATAGACTCCGTCTATTTAAAGCAATTTCTCTGTCTATAGATTAAATTCCTCAAAAATCATACATGGAGAAAAAGAAAGTCGTAATATATGAACACTTATAAAATATTGCTGCGTTAGCTACTTTTCTTGCTGTAGGAGCAAATTCTTTTCGTACAACAGCAACATGTTTTAGCAACTTAGTATTACGTCGATCTCACAGCAAGAAAATTTATTGTTGCAGCAAAAAATGTTGCTAACATAGCAATATTTTTTAGGTGTCCATATATTACAACTATTTTAGCTGCGGCAAACAACTTTTTTTGTATACACACATACTAACTTCTCTATTATTTTCCTTATTTATTGTATTAAAACTATCGTTGCAAAATCAATATATATGATATTGTTACCGATTTGTTACTATTACTATTCCACTTTTTCAACTCGATCGACTTCACGTCGATTTTAACGATCGAATTATTTCTTAGGTGTGAAATGAAGAAATATTTCCTCGCGTGGCCGGAGAATGAGAGAACCGGCGAACGATACTTGTGTTTTTACACTTTTAACCCTCCACTTTCTCAGAATAGCCGTTAGTACAATTTTCTCTTCAAGTAGAGCGAATCTCTGACCGATGCAGTTTCTCGGTCCAGCGCTGAAAGGTACATAAGCGTATGAATTTCTGTGTTTTGAGTTTTCCGGAAGAAATCGATCCGGGTCGAACTTGGTTGGATCCGGCCAAACCTCTGGGTCACGATGTACCAACATAATCGGCAATGCGACTGTGATATCTGCCGGAATCGTATAATCACCTAAAAGATGATTCTATGTGATTATTCGGTCCGATTTAGATCGGTAAAAGACGAAAAAAAGAAAACGTAGCCGCGCCAACATGGACTCAGTTGCTCAGGTATTTATCTGTGAAATTACTTTCGAATCAAGTATCTGCCTCGAAGTATCACTTGACTGATAACCTACCTAATTTAACATCTTCCGCCAATTTTCTCGTTATAAACGGTACACTTGGATATAATCGGAGTGTTTCCTTTATTACTCTTTCAAGATACTTTAATTGCGATAACTCCTTCACACTGGCTGGTGTCTGCGTATTTTTGAAAACTTGCTCGAGTTCCTCATGGACTTTCTCTTGATGTTCGAGATTATTACCCAAACAGAAGAGCGTCCAAGTTATCGCAACCGCGGTGGTATCGTGACCCTGTTGTTATTATTTTATTACTTCGTAACAATATGCTTTGGTAACTACAGGTGACCAAGGGCCGATTGTTCCAATCTCTTGGTAAGTTACCTGATAGTTAAATCATGTACCTGTCCAATTTGAAGAAAACACGAAGACAGACATATGATTTAACTGTCAAGTAGCTTACCAAGAGATTGGAACAATCGGCCCTATTATGCGGCGCTAATGAAACCAAATCTTTTGCTAAATGTCAAACCAACCTCAAACATGAAGGTGTCAACTTGCGCCCGCAATTCGTCTTCGTTTAACGGAGCGTCATCCTTCTCATTCTGGTCCAACAATAGATCTAAAAAGGCTTTCTTTTTTTGTTTACCTGATAAAAAAAATTCTCTCTTAGATAAAGAATATTTATGCAAATGCTAATGCTCTCTTAAACAAAATGAATAAACAAAAATGCAAACGCAAGGACTTGAAGAGATTGACTGCGTACTGGTCTCAATGATGGCTAACGGGATGCTTTTTCTATTACATAGTGTTCTAGGAGGATGCGATGTAGGAGAAGCGATGTAATATTAAATTTGTTCTTTTTCGTGTATTACACGAGAACTGCACTAATACTGAACTCAATTAAACTGAAAAATAACAAACTTATTGTAAAGTAAAATAAAAATAAAAAAAAGAAAAGAGAACGCATTAACTACGCGATGGGGGACCTCTCTTCTCTCCAATAATCAGTCACGACAATACTAGCATATTTTGCCCTCTTTTATGGCTTTTCTTTTGCACATAGGAAACCGTTCTGTGTCGAAAAGCCAGTACTGGCTGGTACAATGAGTGGTCAGCCCTTGAAAATACGTAGTCTACACATCTCTTCAGAAGTCAATAGTATGTAACACGATTAGTTTGTAATTGTACCTATATCATATATATTGTCTTCAGTTTTCATTTCCGTGTGGTCGTTTCCCGATTGGCGTGCAATCTTCCTCTTAACAATCACCTGAAGTATGCCGTCGTAATGAGTAAATTTGAAATTTTTTAAAATAAAACGGCATGTTTATAGCGTTTTGATAGGCGTTGTTATCGCTATTACCGGAATGTGTATTGGCGGCCATACATACCTTTTTCGTGAATTTGTGCATTGCATCAAGTAGTGCTTTATATTCTTTTCCAACAGGCATTAAATAGTATAGCCAATCAACCCAATACCATGGCTGCAATAGTCGCTCGGTTGTTAATTGGGACGATCTATTAAATCATGAATTACAGAACGTCAGTCAGTCAGCCAGTTAGTCGGAATGATATATCGCTGCATGTGTATCCATAATATTAATTCCGTTAATTTTAATTAATATGTGATTGCTCAAGTACAATTAACCACGATTAATGATAGTCGAAGGAATTCTAGATATGCTAACCTATGTACTGTTGAAGAATATTTAGTTACAACTTCTTGAGCACGCACATCCACGCCCATTGCCGTTTCTGCGAAATAACGATTAACGCGTCGCATTATCGAAATGAGTACTTCTAGCTCGTACATAATATCTAATGCAATTGTCGCAATTTATCAAACAGTCTTGTATATTGAATGAAAACACACACACACACACACACACACACACATATATATATATA